TTAATGCAGAACACCATGAAATTCCAAAAGGTTCACATACTTTTTCTTGCAACTGTATGTGCGATATTGGAATTTAGGCTTTAAGACTGTATTCATGATAGTTTATTCAACAAACCAAATTAAATACATCATGGCTCAGAACAACGTTTATACCACCTCTGATCATTAGTAGCATAAAAATAACATTTGTTATTATTATTATTATTTATTAAATTTAATATGTGAACATAGCTATTTTCTCCTCTCTTTATCTAATCTACCTCATGTGATGAGTAGAGAAAAGTGGGTAGGCTGTGTGGAGCAAAAGTAGGTTAAAATGGTGGGGGAAAAGGAAGGCTGAAGTAGTTGCTCTGATGCTGTGCAGTAATTCAAAAGATTTTGATTATGATGTAAAATTATCATTATTGAACAAATACACCTTTAAAAGAATTCTCACATAAGAACTACATCCAGAAAAGTAAATGGAATGGTATGCAACTATGTATTTTCATCAGAGATGAACTTGTTTATTTTTAAAAGAATATAAGAAATTGCAATCTGCCCAGAATCATTTCAGACCAGCACCATCAGTTCAACATGCCTCCTGACTATAGCACACGACTCTATTCACTCATCATTATAAATCATGATTAATTTAACTAAGATTTATTAAAAAGCCATAATTATTTGGATTCATAGAATAATCTATGACCAGCATGTTCCAGGTTATATCCAGGTTGCCCCAATATAAATTTTCTGCTCCACTGCTTATAGTCTGAATAGTAGTTAGGATACAAGGTCGTTATGTGGTAAGTTTGGTTTTCACTTGGTGCATTGTGTGAACTTAGTCACTGTGGTTTTAAGACATGGTTTATGCCTTATGGTTATACCAGGAACTAGGTCAGCCCTGAGGCCATATCTCATGAGTCCCATGCCCTAATTTCAACTCTATGCAAAAATCAGTTCAGACCTCTGATAAGAACTGTCAGTTGTTTTCCTCCAGCCATCAGCTTTGGAAAGATATAAGACTGTGTCAGAGAAAAAGTATCAGAAAATGGGTGGCCTCATATCTGGTTGAGCTCTAACCCCATCTACTGCTTGCTTTATCGCTAATCACAATGCAGCCTCAGATTATTGCTGAACGAATGAAGCCTTGGACAGAAAAAAGAGTGTCTATTCCCGATTACTGGTCACTCCAAAAGAGAATCATCTGCAAAACGACAACATATCAAACTAAAGCAAACACGCTTCCAGTACAGTTATATTTCTCACTACCTCATTTGTTAAAATCCTTCAACATACAAGCAAAGAAGTCTACTAGAGTATGTAAAATAATTCCTCAGGTAGGAATAAAGGCTGTTGTTGAAGTGCAGGAACTAGGAACTGCCTAAAATTAACCTGTTAACTCCAACATACATAGTGCAATTTAAGCATCAGAAAGTCAACAGGAAAGAGAGAACATTGAATACAAACCTACCTGTCTTAGTCTCTCCATTTCCCTGTATGGAAGTTGATGGAACTGGATATTTTTATGCGACATGTTTGCCTTTATTCTTCTTATTTCTTTTGCTTCTGAAAAGAAAACCTGTAAGCCTGAACAGAATATATAGGTATTTTCAGATTTGTTCTCCACAAACTTCCACTTTCACGTTCTGTTTTTAATTTATTTTTTAATCTGAAAAAATCACTACCCATCCCTCTCTAGACAAAATGTTACAGTTCCTTGTCTTTATTGATTTCAAGGCCCGCTTTGACTCTCTTGCTCATGTTTCTGTTTCAATCTCTAAACAACCTTGGCAGTCTAAATAGTATAATAATTATAGTGTAAGTATAATATAGTAATATAATATAATAATTCATAGTATAAGCTTCTTCAGCTGTGTTGTAAGGATAACCTCTATTTATAGAGGTTTTCTAAGAAAATAGTGATATGCATAGTGACTCTGCATATCACTATTTTCTTAGAAGGAATGAGATTATATGAGACAACTGTCGGGAAATAAAGAGACATTCAGCTTTCCTTGCTCTTCGTCTTATACATGTTCTTTCAGCTCACGACCTCTTCCTTTCCTTCTTGTCATTCTGCAAAACCACTTCTTTCATAAAAGTTAATTTTACACATACACACACGACACACATTCATTCAGAATGTTAGCATAGTGCTTATACATTAATCTCTTCCCCCATTCTATCTCAGATCAGGCCCTGGACCTATTCAGATTTAATGGGAAACATTCCTTTATTCAAAAAAACAAATGTTGGAAGCCTTAAGCTCACTTACCCTTCTCTATTTCCCTCTTCCTCAAGAACTCAACAAGCAACAACTCCCTAGGACTTCTGAGCTTAAAGAAATATGTTCCTGAGAACAAGTCAGGATCAAAGTATAGTCTCAAATAAGCCATAATCTAAATAAAACAAGATTCCTGAAGTGTGAGCATCATAACGAATTGTTCCAATTAAATTGGAAGGATGCATTTTTATGCCTTTCCTTGTAAATCCAAAAGAACTGGAAAGTCGAGGAACAAGCATGAGAATCTCTTTTCATTATAGCTGAATTGGATGCATGTATCTAAAATGCCACATATATAATCAATACATTATAATTAATGTAAGTACTTGTTTCCCCAAACTCCAGGTTAGTGTAAAAGAATAGCATGCAGAAACACTCCATTTTGAGTTTGAAATGGTTGTTTTACATGCAAAAAAGTCTATTTCAATTAAGTTTTGGAATTGTACAAAAAAGCTTAAAACAGAGCCATTTCAAGCTTGATACACATCCAACATTATCAGTAGTCCATTTCAAACCTGAAACAGGATATATTGAATTTAAAACATTTTGCATACTATGAAAAATTAAGATGGTTATACTGTTCCTGTGTTGCTTTTTCACTGAAATTATGAAATATAATTTTAAATGAAAACCCACCTTTTAAAAATGTTGAATATAGCTGATAGAAACGTGGGAATGTCCTTTCCAAATATCTTTCATACTTCTTATTCAGGCATTTTACTTTTGAAACCAAAACAGAGGTAAGCTTTTTTGAATTTGCTTTTGAAGAAAAATGGCACACTGGAAGTCTGAAAGGACATTAAAGTTCAGCACTTGTATTGTTATGTATCTCTTTTATGCCTTTTAGCTCACACAAAAATAGCTTTAATACTGTAGTTAGTAACAGAATTATGGAGAACAGCTACCTCTGACTGATGTTTAGTCAAACACTACAGCTTAAATTAGTCTTTTATCCCCGCAATGAAAAAAGGTTGGAATACATTTTCATAGGAATCATACGTAACTGTAAATGGAGTAAATATAGTTTTGTTACTAAAGCAAAATAACACTGAAATCTAGTTGTGAGGTTTGTTGTAAGACCTATGCTCAACAAAAATGCAAAATACATACCTTGTCAATCAGACACTATGATTCGTTAAGTATCATTTTAATATTCTGCTGTCAGGAAAACATCCAAATCAAGAAAAGTCAGTGTTCTATATACCATGCCCAGCTACAAAAAATGGTTTAGTTTTACTTTCATCAGCTGATGTGCTAAAGCTCCTTTTTTTTGGAAAAACTTTGTGACAAGTGCTAGAACAATGAGGGTTCAATAAAAGAATCAATCCCAATCATTCCACCTTCCACTAACCTTGAAACAAGACAGACATTATGGGTTTAAAGCAATCTTGGCAGAAAGAACAGATTTTCTTCCAAATAAGAGATCAAGTACTCTTTCCAAAGCCAAACTGTAAATATATGTTGATGCTTTATACACTACACAGAATGACATGAAATGCACCACTTTAGACTGCTAGCGCATGACACAAACGTAAAACACTATCTTCCTTTGCCTTAAATCTCTGAACATAGAAAACGTAATATGTTAGGGAAATAATTGTGAGAATCTCCTTAGTTAAGTAGTAGTTCACTTTTAGAAGTGTTTTCATTTTGTTGGCAGTAATCACTTCAGTCAAAAATGGTATTCTCTCCCTCTGAAATATTCCCAAATATAGCCTTATTTTTGGTTAACTGGTACTAAAGAAGTAACAAAAGTTCCAAAGTGGTAGGCAGAGCCTGGGTTTACTCCTGTGGTTTGCTTGGTTTAAAAGTACAGTGGTACCTCTAGTTACGAACGCCCCTCCTTACGAATTTTTCGAGATACGACCAGCTCCGGCCCCAA